TACAAAACTGAAGAGATAAACGCAAATCTGATGTCTTGTGCATGTGTATTGACTATGGGCTGCTGGTCTGACGAAGTATGTTCATCTGACAGAATACCGGCTCCAATCTTCTGTATCGTGTGTTCTTTCTTTCTGCTTCAGGAGCAACAGGTTATCTCCAATCACAGATGGATCTGACACCCCGTCAGCCCTTCCTGATCCTGCCTTCCAGCTGGCTGTAGAGGCCAAGGAGCTGGTGGAGGGGGTGTGCTCTGTCACTGCAGATAAAGGTAAAGAGTTAGCTGAACTAAAACACAGTACTGTTCAACCTATAAGGAAGTCCAACAATTATTTTTCCATAAAGCTGTTTAGGATCACAGATCACCATGTCAATATTCAAAATATAATCCTAAAATACACAAGAATGAGAACAGCTGAGTTCACGGAGGGCAACAAAACAGAGATGGTGTCTCAGTGGGGAACTCAGAGTCTGGCGGCAATGCATTAGGCTGGTAGTTTGAAGACTTGGGAGACCACCACCCTGAGCACGGATGTAAAAGCTTTTCACCTCCACTGTAAAAAGTGTCCCGCTAACCAAGTATTACAGTCTTAGATTTCTCAAGCTGCATTCACACCAGAAGCGTTTTAAGCATCAAAAATCCTCAAACACAGAAATTTAGACACTGGTAAAGTTGCTTTGAAACTTCGATGCTCTGGATGCTCGATGCTCTGGATGCTTGATGCTCTGAATGTCTGCTTGTTTATCTGCACTGTTCTGTAGCTTCAAGCTAGAGAGCAGCTTGGCTTTATTCACTTTGAGTTGGAAAAATAGTTTTGACACGTTTTAAAGCGAGAAAGTCCACCTCCAACTATCCTCTGTTCATCAGTTCATCAGAATTATGATGCTATAAAAATATGGACTTCTTATTCAGAGCGCCAGACCTCCAGCATACCTCCAGAAGGCAGTGTTGCCAACTCCTCAGTAAGGAAAGTAGCTATTGACTGTGCTAAAAGTCGCCAAATGAAGTCATCGCCTAAGTTGCATAATCTGCCACAGGAAGTGATGTGCATGTACAGAAAGACAAAACGTGAGTAAAAACACTATATGATAGTGTTTTTACTATCATATAGTGCCCCACGGCAGCAGCTGCCAGAGTAAGAACTATACATGCTTTCATGTAAGAGTCTCCAAAAGCCGCCAGTGACACCGTAAAAAGTCGCCAGATTTGTCGCTAGTCGCTTTTTTGAAAAATAGTCGCTGGAGGGGTCTGAAAGTCGCTAAATATAGCGACAAAGTCGCTGAGTTGGCAACACTGCACCTGCAGTGGCCAGCCTGTGGGGGATTTCCCGCTGCCGTTCGTAGCAGCTGGAAGTGAATAGAATGAGTTTTTAAGGTTTGTGGTAAAAGCTTGAAGTAACAGAAAATACAATCAAATGTTTTTCGTCGGCAGGTTTTAACAGTTTTGGTTAATCTGGGTTTTATAAACTGTTTTTTTATAGTTCATAAAAAATGAAGCAATAATGATCAGAGCTGCTCTCTTTTCCTTCTATATAATGATTCATTCTTCCGACTTTTTTTTAACCTTTGGAGTTTAACTCCCTTGATACTTATTTATTGTTTATATGCAGACAGCTCTGCAGAAGCAATGACAGCTTACAGGTAGTGTTTGTCTCCGCCCAGAAACTCCTGGTTCAGCTTTTCTAATTGGTTGACGCTCTGGCGTCCAGCGGCTATTGTTACATTTTCTGACCTCCAGTGTGAAACGCTCACATGCCAGAATGTTTGGACGCCCTGCTGGACCTTTAGTCAACGTTCCCCATAGACTTTGCATGTAAATCAGCAGTTTTGATGCCCAGAACACGCCCGGTCTCAACGCAGCAAAAGATTTCTTGTTTTGATATCATGATTTATAGAAGTTACCATGTGCAATTGAATAACTGCACTGGAAGATAATGGTACTAATTTAAGTTTTAAAGGAGCTTAGGTGGAAGTTCAATTGAACAAACTCATTCTTCACCCTTACAGCCTCATATACAGGCCAATCAGCTTTGAACCACACCTCCACTAAATCCAATCAGCATAGAGTTCATCTTAAAAGCGTCTCCAAATCCACATCTCGGTCTGCTACCAAAGTGCAGGCAGTGGTTGCGCTACGTCAGGCTTTGACTCAGACGTTCCTGATTCAACCCACCTCCATCCCCTTCTCCACCATCGTGGCTAAAGCTTCATCAGAGTGTCATTCCTCCCAGACACTTACTTCGTTGGCTGTCTCATCTAAACTGGTCAGGCAGAAGACCGCCATGTTGAGCCTAACTCTGCCTTTGGAGTTTATCGCCTCTGGGAAAACTCCAAAGGGGAGTTTTTCCTCTCCACTGTCACTTCATGCTTGCTCTTCATGGACAGTTTCATGCAACCTTTGTTATCAAAACTGGGCCTCAATCTTCGGGTCTCCTAGTCAAGCACTAGTATCAGCTCAAGCAGTCCTCTGGATCTGTCCATACAGCAGTCATGGACTGACCTACTTCATCCATCTCCACTCCTACACCAGTTTCAGGCCTGGGGGGGGTTCCGTTTTCTGTACTCTTGTTCATGCATGCCAAAGCAAAATTCAGCGCTAATGTTTCCTGCCGAGGTCTGAGTGCCAAAGATTAAAGTAATAGTGTCAATAAAATACTTCTAATTTTCTTTTCTTTCTCTGTGAGTTTTTCAGATTGAAAAAGAAGAATGTGCTCTTGCTTATTATATAGATCTCAAAACTAGATTGTAGACTTTTTTGGGATGATCTAAGATTCAAAGACTTGGTTACATGGACACGTTTCTCAGGGCAGGTGGAGTGGGCTGGTTCTGGTCCTCCTGCCTCTAAAGTTTTGATGCGAGACACCTAAAGTATTTATTTTTTGTCTTATCTTCTTTTAAAAAAATAAAAGTCTGATCATGAAAAAATTTAGTTTTACTGCAAACCTCTCTTTTTTTAAATAGAACAACCGATATCAGCTTAGAGCGGTGATGTCATCAATGTATATAGATCCATCAATTCAAATTTCAGATAATTGTTTTGCATATATGTCATGTCTGAGCATCTTATTTTTTAATGGCAGTGACACTTTGAGTTAACAAGCTGAACATGCAATAAAAAAAAAATTATTGTCTGAACATCAAGCAGGTATATTTTTTTAGATATTGCCATAAAGTTCTGGTCTGTGCTTTGCCTGCAGCATCTGATGCCGCTTCGGATGTCAATTTGCATCACGTATGAGCTTCAGAGGGACAGAAGGAGATCCTGCTCCATCACCAAAGAGGCCCACTGAGACCAAACCAACGGCGCTCTTCACCAGTCAACATGTCCACAGGATATGGCGCCACTTTAGCAACCAGTACTGCTTCAGCCAGTGCAGACCACCCAGTAAACAGAGACCGATGGCTTCTCTGAGCAGACCCCCGCTTGCATATGAATTAGAGACTGCGGCTGAAGTTTTCCCCAGCACCTGAGCAGCAAACAATACTGTTCCTAATGCAGCAGCTGATGTTAAAGGCACTGCATGACCGAGTGCATGACACACATGTGCTGCTGCATAATTTGGTAATACTTCTCTGATGTGTTTTGTAAAGATAACAGGAAGATTGACTTCCTGAGCTGCATGTGAAGGAGAGCTTCTTCTGTTCCTGCTTGGGTGGGACAATCCAGAGCTAAACAGTCCTCTGTCTCATCATCTTCATCATCATTTCTCTGCCATATGCTTCATCCCTCTCCCTGGTTTGTTTGCTCTGCAACAAACATAAGAACTGTTGAGAAAAGTGTAGAGCCTTCATGTTACCTCTTCTTGTGCCCATTTTCATTAAGAAAAGGTTGGAGGTTTCTGAGAGTCGGGACCTGAGTGATCAGCGTCATCTGCAGCTTCGTATCTCTGCTGTGGTTCATCTTCATGTGCCGCCATAGCTCCAGCCGTGTGCTCTTGTGTTACATATCGTCAGTGAACAGAAAACAGTTATAGACTACATGTGAAATGTTTTATTTCTGCCAACAGCTACAAACCCATTTATGAAGTGTTTTTGAACTGAACTGTATCTTCAGTGTGGCCTCATATTCTTTGTTATGTTTTATATTAAAGGAATCATTGATGAATTGACCTGTTGTCTGTAGGCTGTTTCCATGACAACAAGACACATGAAACACATGAGTCAGTGAGCTTCTGCCTTTTTCCAATATATGCTTCATCTTTTGTTGATTTATTTTATTTTTATTTTGTGTTTTTTTTGTACAGAATCTTTTCTCCCTTGGATTAATGGTTACTAATTAACAGCCATATAAAAGATTATCTTAATAGTGTCATGATTTTATTCAGAGATCTGACCCAAATGCAGAAAACCAAACAAAGAGACCAGGGGAAGGTTTAACAGGTTAATTGAGAACTGATAGAGATGGGTCCAGTGCTGCTCTGAACACTGGCGAACCAGGACTGAAAAGGGAAGGGGAAGTTCCTGTGGTTAGTCCAGGCTCAGTGGGAAATATAGGGTATCAAGGCTACGGGACTCACGTTTCCAGAAAAGGTGTCTTTCTCTGAATCCAGTCGGTGTGGGTTGTTCCATTAATTGACTTGCTCGTTGGAGGGCGGACAGGGTTTACCCAGGTTGAGGTGTTTCTTAGAGGAACAGAGGAGCTGACTGCCACTTAGATTTCCAGTGGTACTTGAACGGTTTCCTGTGAATATGAATCCCCTGCTCAGAGAGAAGCCCAAACAGTCCTTCCAGGGGGAGAAGGTCCAAAACATCCAGTTAGCAGGATGACTTCCTGCCGAGAGGCAAAGACAAAAAACAAGGTTAAGGCTCAGGTTGACAAAAACTCCATTTGACTCAGCAAAACTCAGTTTGGCTAGAGTACCCAAAACTGGCAAACACTTTGGCCCCGAGGTAGTGACAGTCAGCAGCTTAAGTACTCCTCCAGATAAAGGTCCAACGAGCTGCAGGTGTGCAGGGAGGGCCAATGAGAACGGGGCACCACCTGGTGGAGGAGAAAAGGAAACACAAAAAACAACCCACAAAAACTGGATTCCTGACAAATAGTACAAGTCTTTTGGTTATTATTATTATGCAAAATAAACTTATTAGAGCTTTAAAATTTGTTATAATTCTATTATTTTATCAAGATTCTACACATCTGAGTGGTCCTCATAAATTCTGATGTTTAAGCAGCAGCCCCTCCCTTTACTGGAACAAGCAAGTGGTTAAGGCATGTAAACATAGAGCTGTTATTACCTTCTCTTCTTCTGACAATGCGATGCCTGCCCAGGTGAAAACATCCCACTTTTTCTACTCAGTAGTAAGTTTAGCATTTAGAAGTTTACAGCAAAGTCATTCAGAAAGCAGACCAGAAATTATTATTGAAAATACAGCAAATCAACCTTGACAGTCTCACACAGAAAAAAGCTGTAATAACTTTAATAAATATATTTAAGATCTATTATGCTTTTCTTGGCTGCACATACAATTTGATGTTTAAATTGTATGTGCAGCCAACACTAACCTGTGTTTATAAGTGCATCTATCATCGTTACAAAAAATCTTTGATCTGTTGTGGTTTATCCTTAAATAAATCAAGAAATCAGAATCAGAAATACTTTAATAATCCCAGAGGTAAATTACAATATGGATCAGCCTGAAGGCAAAGGAAAGGTTTTCACCAAGTGGGACCATTTTAATCTCATATCTGTTTCAATTTTCTTGTTGTGTTAGGATAATTATCATAGATGATGTGTGAACTTATTACACCCTAATAATACCTGCCTGTTATGTGTCAGAATTAATGTTTTTCCCAGTAGTTTATCTAAGTAGGACGGTTCCTCTGTCTTCCTCCTCTTACGGGCAAAGATTTGGGAATGGAATGGGAGCGGCGTCCTTCAGCTAAGAACAAAGTGTAATATTTTGCTATCACTGGAGCCATGGATGTCACCTCATTTGCAAACATGTATGATGTAATGATGTAATGATGTGGCAGACTGGAGTTGAATCAAATTCTGCTCTAACAGTTTATTGGAGCCGCTCCACGAGAAGTGAACCGGTTGGTAAGCAGCTGCCTTCTGTAACTCAAAGCAACTTCTCTGATCTGACTAAGATTATAACTTCTATCAAAATCAGCTGTCATGTCTCATGTTTATGTGCTAAATATACATTATAAAGTGTTAGAGTTTTTCCAGAGTTTTCTGTTTTCAGGAAAAAGAACCCAGAGAGAGAGAAAGCTTCAGGGTGTAGTTAGTAGCTGTGTGGTCCCGTTCCTCTCAGTTATCTCTCAACTTATCGTAATTCAAACTGACTCTTAGTTTGCTGTTATTTCTATAGTTATTATTTTAAATAAATAAATCCTTTGTCCTCAAACATTGTTTTTTTACATGTTTACTTAAATTCTCCTGCTATATGCAGGGATTAATGTATTCCTGCCTGGGTCAGATTTCCAGCCTCGTAGCGATTGCCCGTCAGTAAAAAAGTCACTCGAAAATAAAATCATGGTAAATATATTTTAAAAAGATAATCGAAATCCCTTTTGTGTTTGTCAGCCAATGGTAGCAAAGGAGCGCTCTGCAACTAACAGGATTAGCCAATCAGAAGAAGAAGCGGGCATGGGGGGGCAATAATCATGTCCCTGAAATGAGTTTTTGGAAATTGGGATGTCTGTGAAGCTCTACATTGGAAGTCACCTTGTGGCGT